TCACACGCTTGAGGTATTCGGCCAATCACAACGCACTGGATAGCTGGCCAATCAGAGCACAACTCGCTTTTCAGAACGATGAGCTTTGTAAAAATCTACACGTTGCAGAAAGGTGGGGCATAGAGGAGAAACAATAATGTACAGTATGTGGAAAATAATGTGTTTTTTTAACCTTAAACCTTAAATTTCATTACACCAAATACACAAAATAATGTTATTTTTAGCAGCATCATATGACCCCTTTAAAAACATTTCATGGCATGTCACCTATTTCTACTTGCCTAAAAAGACGGGTAGTTGGGTCAGCCTCCGCCTATGGAGTTTTATACATCTATAAAAAGTTTTCAAAAGCATCCCCCCCTCTGTTTTTCACAAATGCACCATATATATATATGTTCAGTTTTATTTTAAATAGGACAAGGACAAGCAAGACTTAGATAAGTAATAAACTGCATTTCTAAATGAGTAAATCTGCAAATATTGATGATGCAAATTGTACTTTGTGGCCCTTTGCATTTTATGTGGTTTAAATGCGGCCCGCTTGGCCTCTGAACTTACCCCTGTATTAGGGGATAGAATGGGAGCGCCAACCATGATCTTGAATATCCCCTGAAAATGTGTGGTGGCCAACGTTGACCAGAAAGGTAAGATAACTCATTAGGTTTTAATACAGCCACAGTACACAGGTGAAAAACGACAGCTATCACCTCGCCTCCTCCCTTTGGTTTCGTTTCAGATACTTGGATATTTGAGCTGAGGGAGGAGTGATTAGGAAAACACGCCTCTTCTCATTTATACAACTTCACTGGAGAGACTTCAGGAGTCGAGCAGCGGCGCGCAGGAGGGCTTCGCTAACTTCACCCAGCACATTTTTATATCAGTGGTATTTCTTCTTTAATTTTCTGGACTTACACAACCGCAGAAATGACTCTACCATACTCACAAAGCGTAACGACACTTAAGACAGTGACCGTCGCGGAACCGAGCACACAGACTATCTTGACATCCACTCCTGTCGAGATAAGCGAAGGGTCGACGACTTACCGAACGGTAAACCTCGCGGAAGCTCAGCTGCAGCCGGTCCAGTACATTAACAGCCAAGTGGAGGGGAACATGGTGTACAGCGGCGCACGTTACCTGGTGCCTGTGCAGCAGCGGCCCGCGGAGTCATACGTTTACCTGAGTCAGGCGCCGCGCGTCGTGCAACCGGTGTACTTACAGAACGTTCGGCCCGTCAGCGTCAGCAGCGTCGACGAAACCGACACCTACAGACAAATAGTGAGTGTTTATTCTTATTGCTTCCCTTTCCTTTTGTGTTACATTTGTATCCAAATGTTGCATATCACTAAAATATAATTTAATTGATTAATATATAGTATTTTACAATATAACTGTTTACAGGGTTCCAGGTAGTTTGGAACAGTAGAAATTATTACCAAATTTGGTAAATGAAAAAAGAAAAGATGCTGCTGATCAGATGCTGTCGTGTCAATACAGCTGTATTGTATTGAAGTTAAAGGGGTCATATGATGCTTTTTTAAAGATCATTATTTTGTGTATTTGACGTAATGTAGTTCAAAAGTTTTAGGTTTCTTTAGCGCCCCCTAAGACATAAATATCGTAAAAAGTTTGATGAAATCTGGACATTGCGCTTACAAAATACAGATCAATTAGTCATTATGGGCCACACCTATACAAAAAAATATATATATTTATTTAAAAATTAAAAGTGTCAGATATGTCCATTTAACATACAGTCACATTTTCTTATTAGCTAATTATAACTAGGCATACTTTTCTTAGTAATATTTGGTATACAGCCTATGTATGATGCTATGTGTGTGTATGCTAGATTTCATAATTAGCATTGTAGAATTTAAATTTAATTTAATGCTTGCATCATAGAAGATGGTATGTTAAATTAAAGCTACACTAACAAACTTTTATGTTTGAAATTAACAACATAACAAGATAATAGTTGGTAAAACATAAATCCATTTTCCAAACCTTGTTTTTTTTTTTTTTTTGCCGTCTTACCCTGAATCACTTTGGTAAGCCTGTAATAATTATTTATATTTTAGAGCTGTCATTTGGTCATTATTTTTTATTTATATTTTCAGCATTCGTTTGTGTGTTTGTCTTGTTCATAAATAAAGGGGGAAAAAAAGCTCAGGCTACTGTAGTGAAAGGTGTCAGTATATTGAAGCCCCGACAAATTAACCTCAAAAAGAGTTGTAAAAAGGGAAAGCGACTGTGCCATAATAAAGCATCTTTTGATTGCATTGCCTTCATCACATATTCAATGTACACGTTTTTTTGTTTCCACTTACCTTATCTGATATGAATACCAATCATTATGACTAATATCAGAGTTACCAAACTTTTGTAACATTATTTTAGCACCATTCATTTAACAAGTGAAAACAGCAGCACACAACAACAACAAAATGCATATTTTTCAGATATGCATCTCTTTTTGTTATTTATTGTTTTATATATATATATATATAAGCAACTGAAGTATAAATGTACAATTTACTTGTGGTTGAACCTATATATACTGTATATATACAGTGCTGCTTGAAAGTTTGTGAAGCCTTTAGAATTTTCTATATTTCTGCATAAATATGACCTAAAACATAATTAGATTTTCACACAAATCCTGAAAGTAGACAAAGAGAATCCAATAAAACAAAAGAGACAAAAATATATACTTTGTCCTTTATTTATTGCGGAAAAATTATCCGGTGTTAAATATTTGTGAGTGGCAAAAGTATGTGAAACTTTGCTTTCAGTATCTGGTGTGACCCCCTTTTGCAGCAATAACTGCAAGTAACATTTCTTGTAACTGCTGATCAGTCCTGCACAACGGCTTGTAGGAATTTTAGCCCATTCCTCAGTACAGAATCACTTCAACTCTGTGATGTTGGTGGGTTTCCTCCTTGCTGCATGACCCAATTTCTCTTCTTGGACAGATGTCCTGACATTTTCCTTTTAGAATCTGCTGGTATAATTCAGAATTCATTGTTCCATCAATGATGACAAGCCATCCTGGACCAGATGCAGCAAAACAGGCCAAAACCATGATTCTACCACCACCATGCTTCACAGATGGGATAAGGTTCTTATGCTGGGATGCAGGGTTTTCTTTCTCCAAACATAACGCTGCTCATTTAAACCAAAATGTTCTATTTTGGTTTCATCCATCCACAAAACATTTCTCCAGTATTCCTCTGGCCTGTCAACATGATCTTTAGCAAACTGCAGATGGGCAGCTATGTTCTTTTTGGAGAGCAGTGGCTTTCTTCTTGCGACTCTGCCATGGACACCATGGTTGTTCAGTGTTCTCCTGATGATGGGCTCATAAACATTAACATATGGATTGGTGGAGTCCAGACTCTTTAGAGATGGTTTTGAAACCTTTTCTAGCCTGATGAGCAACACCAACTCTTTTTCTGAGGTCCTCAGAGATCTCAATTGTTTGTGCCATGATACACTTCCACAGACATGATCAGACTTTGATAGATCCCTTTTTTTTTAAATAAAACAGGGCACACACTGACACCTGATAGTAATTTCACTGATTGAAAACAACTCTGAAAAACAGATGGACTCTAATTTCACCTTCAAATTAACTGCCAATCCTAGAGATTCAAATACGTTTGCCACTCACAGATATGTAATATTGTATAATTTTCCTGAATAAATAAATGACAAAGAACATATTTCTGTCTCACTTGTTTGATTGGGTTCTCTTTGTCTACTTTCAGGACTTGTGCAAAAGTCTGATTATGTTTTGCGTCATATTTATGCAGAAATATAAAAAATTCTAAAGGGTTCACAAACTTTCAAGCAGCACTGTATATACATACACTGATCAGGCATAACATTATGACCACCTTCTTAATATTGACAAACTTTCAAGCGGCACTGTATATATATATATATATATATAAGGTTCAACCACAAGTAAATTGTACATTTATACTTCAGTTGCTGAAGGGACAAAAGTTATAGTGTAGCTTTAAATAATTGCAGAATTATAATACATTTTAGCTCTATTGCTCCACAATTCCTGAATTGTTCTTAAAACATCCTGCTGTTTACAGGTTTTAGGTTTTGTTAAATGTGGACTTTATGTTCATAAGATATAGGTCTGATGGGTTCTGTTCAGTTTTCCAGTGTAGGCAAAAATTGTATTTGTTTGACTATTCATTTGTTCGAAATTCTTTCTTCCGAAATCAGATTGATACATATCAGCTTAAAGATACATATCAGCTTTAAAATACTATGACACCTTTTCCTACATACACAAGCCTGACCCTTAATTTTATACACAAGTATGTTTAGGTCATTAGAACCACTCAGGTAGACACACAGTAACATTAACAGTGTAATGTGAAGTATAAATGTAAACCCACTTTATAAAGACTTACATAATATGTAATTAGCAAAATGCAGGTCAATTCAGGACTGTTCATGAACATTCAAATATTAATGTTTATACAAATTATTATTACAATGTTTTTTTTCTGTATGGTGCCTTTTATTTATAACTGTTTACATTTTGTTGAGAAGCCTGTAATATGCTATTTAATATCAGGTTCTGCTGTGGCAAATTACCCCATTTGATAGCACACCCTGCTATTGATCAGTGTATGTTTATTGAACTTTTTTGCATCTTTTTCTGGGCAATAATTGTGTACAGTACATGTTAAATATTTTTTTTTTTAGTCAACAAAGTTTCTGTTTATTTACTAGAGTAAAAAGTGTGACAAACATGTGTGTTTACATGTGTGTAAAGTAAAGTCTTGCGTGTTAACACAAGACAATGCATTCAAGAAGCCCTTATTTATTAATGTTTTCTTCTTCTGTATTCAGAACATAAATGGACAAACATCTGTCTTCAGCCAGTTATCCAGTCCAGTCAAAAGCCCTGAACCATCTGAGGTAATGAAATAACGTTTACTGTGTATGCAGACAGGCACATATAATCAGTAACATTTAAGGCTGAAAACTGTTTGTATGCATTCATACGGTTAGCACACAAACACACACACCTAAAGTTACCCTTGACTTGACTTTCATGCCTTTTCATGCATTAGATGAAATACACAAGGTACTGTATTACACACACTTTCTTCTGGGTTTGTACATGCCTCTGGCTTGTGATCTGAGCCGGGAGAACAAGCTTTAATGTTGCCCAGGCTTTAGTGTGTGTAGTTGCATGCACACATGCTAATATGAAAACATTTTATGTGTTTGAGCACAAGTGCAGTACCTGCAGGGTTTAGGGTGTGTCTGACAGAAAGAATGGACTCTGTAATTCCCAGAGGAGACAGCGTGTTAACGCCCATTTAGATTGGGCCTGACAATAGTCATAATATATTGCAAGGAAAGTGTTAGAGGGAGTTGCCCTTTAATGCAACTGTTGCTGTCAACCAGCCTGCAGGTGATAAGAAGATGATAGGTGTATGTTGGAAGAGCTTAAATGTGTACTACCAAATAAACACCTTGCTTTAGTTTATATGACAAAATATTATTTCACACTATCACACTAATATCGTTTTTCAACGTTAGTGTACTTGTTTATTAAGAAAAAGACAGCAATGTCAGTAAAGGTAATGCTTGAGAGATAAATTAAGATGTGAATTAAGTTAAATATTACTTGTGAAAATAACTTTTTTTTTTGGCATCATTTCCATTCAAGCTGTAAGCTTGTTAAATTATGCAAAATGTGCCAAAATATAATTTTTATGTGTAGTGTGTATCTAGATATGAAATTAGGCTTGGAAAATGGGAAACGGGATAAGTCACACTCTAAAACATCTTTTTTAATAATAATAAAAAAAGAAATGACTAATAAATAATAACAATTTAAGCTGAAAACCTAAAAACATTGTATTTTTATTGTACCATAAGGTCAGTCTCTGACATTTAGACATTTCTTTCATTGGTGAAAGTCTTTTCACTGTACAAATGTGCAGGTCTTTCAAAGATAATACGCAGCAGAAGGCAAAACATGGTTGCATTTCTTTTTGTAAGTTTTCTAGCAGCTTTATATATAAGTTGGTCTGTATAGGTGTTGGAAACTCATTCTGTGGGTTTAACTAATGGATGTGAAGGTCCAGTGTGTTCCATGTAAGGTTGAGTCATCAGCCTTTCATACAGCAGTTTGAAAAGCATTACACGCAATGATTTAATGAGGGCTGTCATAGGGTTGTGCTTGCAGACATGCTGGGACAGGAGTTGGGAGCTTATCTTCAGCTTCAAGTTTCGTACACATAGGAGGATTTTATTGTAATTAGGCGTCTTGCACTCAGACATGTCTTAAATTTTAGGTTTGTAATGTGAGATGGCATTGAAGGCTGGTCAGGAGTTTCACATGATGTCATTATGATGTCATTGGTCTGACACATGCATTGATGAATGCAAAAATGGACTTGGAGTATTTCATGAGAAGAAAGTGTGATGCGTAACATTATGTGAGGTTCTGTTATGTTGAAATACTATGCAAGAATTGAAGCGATATTGGCAGATGTGATATTATAAAGAAGTTATCATAATTGCTGAAGTCAGAGTTTGGTTCAGTTATGTTGAATGTTTAAATTACTTGTTGAATGTTTAAGTCTTGTTACTTGTTAAATGACAATTAATAATCTAGTATTTATGTACATTTGAATATTTCAAACTAGTCTCTCAGAAATTAGGATTTGAGCTGATGAGTGGAGATTTTTAGGAGACATTTGTCAGGAACGTATTAAATGTGTGCAGGAAAAAACGCTATTTTATGTGATAAAATAGATTTGCATTTAGCTGACAAAAGTGCTACTGAATCCACTAAATTGACAAACAAATAATGTTATCGTAGTAGTGGTATTATTATGATTTAAATTGCATTGTTTTACAGATTTATTCTCTGCCACAGTTTTTTTTTTTTCAAAGCAAATGTTTTACATAGGTTTTTAGGTTTTTAATTATTTTAAAAATTAGTTTTGCCTTATACATATTTTCTTTAATAAAGCACATTTAGAAAGGCTTGTAATCATGATTTAATACATTATTAGTCAGACTTAAAGAGTTGGATGATTCAGAACTTGATTAAAACTTTGAATCTTTTCCCATGATTTGACTGATTGACAGCTCATGATTTAGGCTTGACTCATGCAAAACAGTGACTTGGAGCAAAATCTGTTAAGCTTCAATGTAATGGAGAGGAATAACAGTATGTAAAAATATCATTCATATTTTGCATGCATTTGAACGGGCTGTTTTAAATTCCCAGGTAAGACCTTAAAGTCCCCATGAAATCAAAATGAACGTTTTTTGGGTGTTAGTATCAATATGTTAGTCTTAAGGTTATCTATAAGGCAGTGTGCTCCAAAACAGTGACAAAATTCGCATTTAGATGTCTTTCAAAATGAATCTGAAGGAACCATGATTGCTTGATTACACTAGGTTCAACAACAGTGAAACAGGTTCTTTGTAAAGGGATTCAGTTTATTTTCATTTAGAACAATCATTACCTAATGAATAGTTTGAAATTATATTTATCTTTATAAGCCGGAGTGCTTCCGGCTTCGCTACCGTTCGGACGTTCTTGCTTACTGCTCTGTGCTTTGCTCCCTATGTCTGTACTTTTCTTCGATTTTTCTAAGATTTTTACTTCAGCAGATCAGCACAATGCTCAAACAACATATTTTTGGCACAAACACTAAAACTAAAAACTCTCTGGGACTGGAATAATACCACGAAAAAGAAGACTTTTGCCTCCCACTGCCAGCAGCTTACATTCCGGAGAAGGGAAAACACAGCTGCCCACATTCAAACAGAAGAGAAAGAAAATGCCTCCTGTTGAATCTACTTGCTGCATGAACTACTGCAAACTTCTACAAAGGATTGCGGTTCTTGAAACAAAGTTACTTGCTGGACTTCCAAAACAGGCAGAACACTCAGCAGTGCTATATAAATAAACTTGCCTTGCCTTGCCTTTTTTATGTTGTATAATGCTTAAAAAAAATAAAAACAGTGTTCCTTCAAATGTCAAAAGTATCTCTCTCCACTGGCTTCCTGCGGTCAGACACAACTTGGAAAACTGAGCTCCTCCTGCCTTTCACTGTAGACCAGAGCAATGACCTGCTGTTCTTACACTGGAACAGAGAGGCTTTTGGCTCACACATTGACCCATTTTTGCAGACAGTAAGGTATTGTGAAAAGCCAAAGCCAGAAAGGAAATACAGTCACAGGTTTAGTAGCAATGATTGTCTTTATTTTGTGTCTTCTCATAATTCATGGGAACATGCTTATCAAAAGTTAGATAAGATATAACTGTTTGTTCAGCTTTATATCAAAGTGGAGGGACGCTTAAGCCTACAGTTCCTGATTTCTGGGTAAAAATGTACACAATTTTGCCAGCTCAACTAAAAGTAAAATTTCCAGAACCCGTTTTTCAAAATCGAATGACCTTTACATTTTTTACAGCTTTTGATAACCAACAGACTTGGACTCAGCCTTGGACTTTACATATAAAATAAGTTTATAAAGTTTATTAAGTTTAAAAAAATATTAATCAAAGGACAGCCCTGATTTAAAGCCCAAGTACAAAGTATTTTCAGATCTTTATTAACATATATACAATTAGTGTTTGTTTGTTTTTTGAATGGACCTGATGTAATTTTTTATTTTAGAATCACAAATTGCAATGTAATGAAGCACTTCCTGCGCATTCCTTGCAGAGTTACTCAATGCTACTGTGGGTACCGAGGTTACAGCATTACAACCGAATGAAATTTGCACATAAGAGAAAGTTCAGGTGATCTGGAATTACTCCCAGAAATCTTCTGTGCACTGACTCTTGCTATTACTCATGTATCATTTTTAATGCACGCTCGCTCTTACTCAGTATGCATAAGTGGGAATTTGTTGAAAGGTTAGATTTAATGATACTACCTCTAGTGATTGAGTGAACTAGAAGCACTAAACTCTGTTATGTGCCCTTGCTTGCTGTGTGCAGAACCTGCTTGTCAGGCTTGTCAGACGCTAAAAGTAACAAATGTCTAAAGTACGTTTCAATCATTGATTATTTCTTATCATTGTAATCTTGTAAGAACACACCCAAAAACAATCTTTAATTTACACAACTCTACATTCACTCATGCACAGCTAATCCTGTAAAAATCACAAGTTTAGTAATATGCGCAACTGTTAACAAGCTCGGCTCATTGTTGTTGCAGCTTCAAACCGGTTTTTGCACAGCGGCCTCAGTAGCGAGTCCACACAAACACACACCCAGTTAACACCGTCACTGCTGGTATTTCTGCCACAGAATGGTGTGGAATGTTCTCAAGGACTGACACACCCGCTGTCAAAAACACTTTTTTTGTGAGAGCTCTCTAAACAGATGCTAATGCCTGCAAACACCTGGACAAGTTTCTCTTTTCCATAGTGCTTCTGCTGCACATTTTTTACTGTGAGAGAACAGTTGTAGCATACATGCTCCAGTTGCTGGTCTGGTAGAGCATGGCACTAGCAACACTAAGGCCCTGCAGGTTATGTTATTCCATCAAAAAAGCACAATCACAAACGTACTAACTGCAGTTGATGTGAAAAAATAGTAAAATAATTCAATAAAAATGCAATGATTTAAAAAAAAAATTAGTTTATTGTTTGAGAACTACAGTGGGATTCAAATGGGATTCTAATGAAAATCACTACTGAGAATAATAGGAAAAAAAGCTAAAAGTGAAATGTCCAGTCATTGCAGTTGTCATCTTTATTACAGGTTTTCTGAAATGTTATGTTTACATATGCAAATGAGGCATTATTTAATTACATTTGCTCTATTTTGCATTCATTTCCAGAACACATAAACACTCAAAAAGTGAAAGGCCAAAAAGCCCAAAATCTCAAAATTGATCAGTACCTGAAAAAAAAATGTTTTTGCTTGTAGTGTCTTGCCTTTATTAATTTCTTATTTTATTTTTTATCTTTTGATTTTAGGGTGAAATATGACCTGGGCATTTTTGGTGAGATTCAGCCAGTAACTTCTAACAGTTTTACTTAAAGTAGAAAACCAAGGAATGATGTATCAGAATCATGACTAGAATAATGTCAAATGGGTAAATGACTTACAATTATGTCAACGTGATTTAAATATTTAAACATAAGATCTCGTGTAGTGTCAGTTCATTTATAATTCTGGATGAAACTAGACCCTGAGTGAACCCTCAATAATTCTCTCTCATGGATGAGTGGAATCCACCTCAAGTTCTGGATGTTACCGGAGGACTGACAGAACTGTTTCTCTATACCTTAAATTCAATATTGTGCCGTAAATCATTTTTAAATCCTAATGCTTTTGCTTTTAGAATGCAAAAACATCAATCAGTTTGAAACACTATTAACTAGGGATCAAAGCGCTATTCATGCACCTAAATAGAACATTTGGCCAGTCATTATTTTTAAAAAAGTAGCTTTCACAGCTTTATATATTATCTAATCTTAAAGGTAGGGTAGGCGATTTTGGAGAGGCTAGCCTTGAAAGCATAAGATACCACCCTCCCTGCAAATCATTCTCCAAAGCCACGCCTCCTCCAAAACACATGAACGTGCAGAGGCAGACCAGAGATGAGAGACGGCATAGGTGGAGGGCTGAATGCAACGCTGGTTAGCTCATGGCATAATATTACAATAATAGCGGCTTCCATTCTCGCTCGGTCTACAATAGTGTAATGGAATGCGCTGATGATGTATCGTGTCTGCACGAAACGGGTGCGCAGAGGTATGCAAATATATCTGTTGACAGTCAGGTAGGACAGCCTATTGTAGCCCTCGGACCGAGGGATATGATTGGATGAACATTTTATGGTCCTACACTTTAAACAGACAATATAAATACATAAATACATTTAGACGACTATAAACTTAGCAATTGCTAAGTTTAAAAAAAAAAAAAATGTTTTTGAACCAAATCACTTACACTGCCTTTAAAAGAGAAAACAGATATTTAACAATAGAAATTATGGAATTTCTTGGAATTTTTAACATGACAGAAATTTTTTTTCATTGCAGAATGTAATGTAACTCTTTACCTAAGTTGGGTTGGATATTTAAATTATGTCCAACTTTATCTGCATACATACTGTATACTCGTGTACCCCACATTATATACTACAACATCATTATATTCTGTAAGGCTGTTTTGAACATGTGTATTGTGAAAAACACTATACAAATAAGTTTAAGTTGACTTTGAAAAATCAGAGCAATACAGATAATTAAAAAAATGCTTGTATTGACCAATCATATTGTGCATTTCCACCGCTTCTAATGCTTTCTAGATGACAATGTACAAAATGCAGAATTTGCATAAAGACCCTTCCATCAACAGCTTCAGTAGCTGAATGCACCAAATTTTTTCGCCGCTCCCCAGAATGCCTTAAGTACACTCTCATAAAAAAAGCTGTCACTGGGGCAGTACCTTTTCAAAAGGTACACTTTTGTACCTTTTAAGTACAGGTAGTAATTATGTAATTTAGGTACTAATATGTACCTTTAAGGTACCAATATAGACTCTTTAGGTACAAAAGTGTGCCTTTTGAAAAGGTACCGCACTAGTGACAGCTTTTGTACCTTTTTTTCTGAGAGTGTATGCATGGTCCACTCAGTTCTCGGCATGTAGTTTTGTTTGCTGCTTTTAAGTGTATTGTTAGAGAAGTCACTCAGGAGTGTCTGATCTGGATTGATACAAAGGCGTGTGGTGTTTCACTTACTATTCTTTGAGGTGTGGACTGGCTGATGTCTCTCACTCACAATCTAGTGTAAAGAGTTTAACACATACTTGAAAACGTGAACCCTCATTTCTAAGCATACATAGACAGAGGTTGTTGTCTTCTTGTGAAGTTTCCTCCATGTTGACATACTAACTGTTATGTAAGTATCACATTTTGCACGTTTCAAGGAAGAACAATGTTGATCCTGTAGTCGATTTGTTTGTTTAGTTGATTAGTTGGTAAATTTACAGCATAGCATCTTTTGTAACTAAACTAAAGTTTAGCACTCCCACTCAAAATATCCTGTCCATCCTTTATGCCTTTTTCCAGTCAGAGCTGGTGGAGACTTCAAGCATTCGAGAGGAAGTCGTGGACCTGAGAGAAATAAAGAATGGTCTTTCTGAGATTAAGACCGAGGTTATCGATGTGGAACCGATCGCCAAGATGGACAACCGCTTCTTTGGCGAGCTTCTTGCTGAGGTTTACCGCAAGAACTCAGATATTCACACCTGCATCTCCGAGCATGTGGCCAAGATTCGCGGAAGGTGAGGTGCTTGTCTTTATTTATTTTTAACGATCTAGCACATCCTTCAGAATCATAATGCTATTTAAAAAAAAATGGTTATTTCATAATATGTCACAAGCTAATTTATAAAATTGCATCATTAAATTATAGGGGTGGGAGAAAAAAATCGATGCATCGCGAATCTCTCTCCAATGATTCTGGATTCTGAGCTTAGGTTTTAAGCAGATACGCGATGACGCTGAGTTTGCTTTAGAAACACCCGTATTCTGCTTGCTTCCAATTAATACACCACTCGAACCTTCCGTAAAATAATCTTTCGTAAAGTTCGGAAAGGTTGAAGCGAATTGCAAGGACATTTGTGGTTATCTTAAATACTGAAAGCACTCTTTGTTTGTTGTATGTAATATGTTTCTATGCTCCTCTTTATTATTTGCTACTTGCTTGTATGTTTTGAAGTTATATTAGTTTAAAATTCTTAACATACAACTGTTTTAATAATTTTGTTTCAAATTGTAATTATTTTAAAAAGTACTTAATTACTTATGTAAGGATATGTAAATGTAAGGATTT